GCATGAAGTATGAGGGAATTTTTCCGTGAAAAATTCAAACTATTGGAAGCAGGGCAGGGCCAACCAAGATTTGCGAGGCCTAGAAAAAGTGCGATGGAAAATGGTATAAAGATCGCACAATTAACGCATGAAGTTGAAAGTTTTGCACGGAAAGCCTTGAATTCCAGCTGAAACTCCCTGAATAAATGACCGTTAAGGGCTATTTGTGTAGGGGCATGACGACAATCTGTCATTCATACCACATTGCACTCTATGAATGGCTTCCGGGCGCCATGTATATCGCAAAGGCGATATATTACCGTTGACTGGACTCATTCAATAAAAAAGTCCATTCATACGCAACTCTGCACTATCTACCCAGCACTAATGAAGAGGAAGCAGTTCAGGGAGCAGGGTACAGCATCGTGATGTGTGAAATGGTGGTGTCAGTATGATCCCCCCCCCTCTGAATGAGGGTCTCGGTACGATCACCCTTCCCCAGCACCTACCTACCACTTTCCTACATGTTCCCAGCTCCCCAACACTTTTTCGTTCCGGAATTTCCCAGAAGTTTGCTACTTTTTCCCCGAGAATTTCCTGTGGAGCGGAGGGGGGGGGGAGTAGATAGCAAATGTGAAACGGGAAAACCGCGAAAAGTCAACAACCGGGAAAATTTTTTCCCAACGCGGCAAATTTCTCTCAAAGGCACATACGACCCCTCTCTCCCAACAACGACCAAATACGACCCCTTCCCCTCCCGAGGCCAAGTACGACCATCCCCCCCCATGTGTTTTGCACAACGATCCTGCTGTATCCTGTCAGGGAGCGGAGTACTTTACGAAACAATTTTTCTACGATCTCGGGGCTTTTTTTTCAGAAAAGACGTCTGTATGGCGTACCCAGGAAATGGATTAATCTAAAGGATATGTCACCAACCTGACTCCGAGAAGTACCAGTTTTAACCCTTTGGTTAAAATTGGTACTTTTCGGGGTCAGGTTGGTGGCACGCCAAGTACTGTATCTTTCTACCCAAGGGGCAACAATCATTTTCACGTCTGCGTAGTTTGTTTTAGTCGTACCAGAGCAAGCTGACCCACCACGAAGGCATGTCTTCAGGTTAAAGGAACGGTCCACGGTGACCTATAGAAATGCAAAAGATTATGTGGAAAGAGAGGTGTGGTCCGCATAGGATAACCTTGTGCCAGTTTCGTGGCACGAAGTTGCAAGGTAAAGGAGTTGAGGCGCAAAGCTGCTCCAGTGACACCTCCCTTTTTCCAGTAACTCCGCCTCCAGACTCCGCCTTGAAAGTCCGCCTTCCTGCAAAAGCGATTTTTCCAGCTAGCATGTGGTTGCTCCAATGTCCTGGAGCCGTAGAGCTCACTACAAGGGATCAGCTGACTGGACCGAGTCACAACATGAGGTCTTTTGATTTTTTACCCTCTACGAATGTTTGAGGTCGGAAGAGTCCTATTAAAGACATGTCACTTGCACTGCTCCATATTTCAACACCACTATTTACGCTTCCTATCGCGGACCTTGTCACTCAGGAACGTCGAGGAAGGTGATCAAATCTGATCCAACCTAGTATGGACCATACTCAACTCACCATAGTTTTGCTGAGCTCCTCTCTGGTCGCTGCTTGTGCCGCTTCTTTGTCCTTGAGTTCGCTGGCCTCCGCTAAAGTTACTGTTTGGTCGAGTTGCTTCACGTGCTCCTCGGTTCGCCTCGTTAGCGATATAATTACATCACCAACCTGAGAAATACCCATTTTCGTGTATTTACACTTTGTCCCACCAAAATCATAGAATAAACAAATAATTCAAATTATTATTAGGCTAAGGCGGAGGTGGTACAGTGGCGAGTGACACGCCTACTACGCGTCAAGTCCCGGAATTCCAGACAACGAAGTAGGGAGAATCCCATTAGGGGGCGTGCTTGGTCGTGAGGGAGGGGGTGTACCGGAAGAAGAATCTCCGCT